ATACACCAATCCAAAGAAATTTGAGTTTCATACAGACACTACGGAATATCTCGGTTACTGCCTCTCTCCTTCTGGACTCACCATGTCCATCGAGAAGGTCAAAGCTGTCCAAGATTGGCCCGAGCCCCGTAAAGTCAAGGATGTCCAATCCTTCCTTGGCTTCGCTAACTTCTATCAGTGTTTCATCCACCAATACTCCAACATTGTGGTCCCCTTGATGCGCCTCACACGTAAAGGAGCCCCCTGGCTATTCTCTGACGATTGTTGCTCTGCTTTCAACACCTTGAAAGAAGCCTTCACTTCTGCTCCTATCCTCACACATTGGCTACCCGACGCCCCCCTCATTGTAAAAACCGACACCTCCGACTACACAATCTCCGGAATCCTGTCCATCCACTGTGATGACGGAGAGATTCACCCCGTCGCTTTCTGCTCTAGAACACTCTCAGCGCCAGAGCTCAACTACGACACCCACGATAAGGAACTGCTCGCCATCCATGATGCATTCCGATCGTGGCGTCATTACCTTGAAGGTTCAGGAACCCCAATCGACATCGTCACTGACCACAAGAACCTCGAGTATTTTTCCACCACCAAACTCTTGACCTGGTGGCAAGCCCACTGGTCAGAGTTCCTCTCCCAGTTCCACATGACTGTCCAATTCCGTTCCGGAAGACTCGGAGTAAAACCAGATGCATTGACTAGATGCTGGGACGTCTATCCCAAAGAAGGGGATATGGACTACACTCACGTCAATCCGCAGAACTTCCAACTGGTCTTCACTTCGGAGCAGCTCACTGCGTCCTTACGAGCTACGTTCCTAGCTTCCACAGTAATCCAAGCAGCCATACTTGTCGACACAGAGGCTCTTCATTGAGACATCCTAGCCTCCCTCTCCTCTGACACCACAATCTCTTCTCATCTCACTTCCCCCAACCTCCCCAATTCCCGCTGGTCCATTGATGCCGAAGGCCTGTTAAGGCTGGACAACCGCATTTATGTTCTGGATTCTAATGATCTCCATCTCCACGTTTTGTGAGACAAACATGACCACCAACTTTCCAGACACTTCGGTCAAAACCAGACTCTGGATCTAGTACGTTGTGATTATACCTGGCCGGGCATCCGCAACTTCGTCAAGAGTTACATCTCCTCCTGCACTTCTTGTGCCCGTGCCAAAGTCCCCTGTCATAAGCCTTATGGCTTACTCAAACAACTCCCCATCCCCGAACGTCCTTGGAACTCCATCTCCATGGATTTCATCGAACAGCTACCCTCCTCTTCCAGATTCACTTCCATCTTGGTTGTCATGGACTGCCTGTCCAAACAGTGCATCTTCATCCCTACCCATGACACCATCACCTCTCCGGAACTGGCCAAGCTCTTCCTCCTCCATGTGTTCTCCAAGCATGGAGTTCCTTCCCACATCACCTCCGACAGGGGTCCGGAGTTTGTCTCTCATTTTTTCTGTTCACTTGGTAAGGCCCTCAACATCCACCTCCACTTCACCTCCGGTTATCATCCAGAAGGAGACGGTCAGACTGAACAGATGAACCAGACGCTTGAGCAGTACCTGCGCATCTACAGTAACTACCAGCAGGACAATTGGTCTGAACTCCTGCCTCTCGCAAAGTTCGCATACAACAACGCTCCGAATGCCACCACAGGTGTCTCCCCATTCTTCGCCAACAAAGGCTACCATCCGAACATCACTGTTCACCCAGAGCGAGACCTGACATCAGTATGCACCCAAGAGTACTCTGTAGATCTCGACTCCCTCCACCACTTCCTTCGTGAGGAAATGCATCTCACTCAGATCCATTATCAGGGCCCTGCAGACTCCCATCGGAGTCCTGCCCCAGCTTTCAAAGTAGGAACCTTGGTCTATGTAAAGGCCAAATATTTCCGCTCCACCCGACCTTCCAAAAAGCTCTCTGAGAAAAAACTCGGCCCATTCGAGATCATCGCCCACATTGGAACTCACTCCCTCACTCTCTGCCTGCTGGAAAACATGCAAGCCACTCACCCGGTATTCCATGTCTCGCAGATCGAACCCTCCGTCCCGAACATGATTCCGAACTGCCACCAGCCACCTCCACCTCCCATAGAAATCGAAGGCAAGATGGAGTTCGAGATCGAGGAGATACTTGACTCCAAGATCAACCGACGTAGGCGCAACAAGTTGCTCTACCTGGTCAAGTGGCTAGGCTATGAAGGGACTGATGAGGAGACACAATGGCTCCTTGCCAGCGAACTCGATCACGCCTCCGACCTCGTTGAAGCGTTCCACTCTCGGTACCCAGACAAGCCTGGACCCAAAGCTCCTTAGGAACCTGTCATATCCATGCATACCCAATCCCGACCCGACTTCTGGACCTCCTCCTTCCCCACCTCCGGAGTCTTACCCTACTGCTGTCCGTTCCGATACTCACCTTCGGTCCTGGCAACACACCTCCTCTTACCTCCGATGCCACCTCCACTCCTCCTCCCCTATCTCCGTCCGTTCCGATACTCACCTCAGACCGAACACCACCCCTCTCGCCACCCTCCTACTACTCCTCCTCCTACTCCTCCACTCCTCCTTCACAACACCTCTACCCTTCCGTCACCCTCCTATGCTTCCCCCGTCCGCTCCAATACTCACCTTCAGACCTGACAACTCTCCTTTCTGCCACTCCTTCTCTCTTCCCTTTCTCCTCTCTCCTCCCTCTGGTACTCTTCCACCAACCTCCCGCCAAATTACGACCTTCCACCGCTGTCCCATACTTCATACTCGGGCACTGCTCGTACCTTTGCTCCGAGCCTCTGTGTCAGGGACGCGTCCGGGGTGGAGGGGGCCCGGCTGTAGCGCCCGGCGGAGGGACCCTCTGGGGGGACGAAGCAGGCGCGCGTACTGACGGGCCTGATCTGGGACTATAGTCCCTGGCCACTTAGACTGAAGTGGAAAACGTGAATTGTTATTAAAAGGAAGAACTACACTACTTACCTGAAGTGGAAAACGTGAGAAGAAGGTTACTTCTTCAGTTCCCACTTCAGGTACATTTATGTACATGCGGCTCGGGTCACATGACGGGTGCCACGTCATCTACGGAGAGGGCCGCAGCCATCTGGGTATCCCGCGGGGGATCCCGAGGGTGTCCGCTGCAGGTGCACATGCTGGGCGTAGCGGGAAGTCGTCCGGGGTGTCCGAGCCGGACAGGTCAACAGTACAATGATACAAGGGAAGGTGGTCCGTGTAAATAGAAAGAATAAACAGAAAGGGAGAGTGAAATAAAGGAGAAAGAGGAAAGAGGGAAGAGGGAGGAAAGGGAGGAAGGGGAAGAGGGAGGAAGGATAGGTAGTGGGGAGCGAGTGAGCCGGTGAGCGGGTGAGGTGGGCCCAGGTGGGCCCGGGTGGAACCGGGTCAGGTGGGTGTGCCCTGACACTCTGTCATAGTCCCTACCTCGGACTTTGACTCCACCTCGGTCTTAGTCCATTGCATTGGTGACCTCATACTACATAAACACCATTGCCAATATTCCTCAGACTTTCAACCCCACCTCCATAACCTCTGTAAGCTCTGCAACCTCTGAGCTTCATGGATCGCCTTCAGCACTTTTGCCACTTGTAATGTATCTTTCATGTTTTCCCCTCATCCCTATTTGGACTGCTGCTTCTTCCCATTCTAGCCAGTTAGTCATCATCCCCACTTCTCCTCATCCTCCTGCCCCTCTGGGCCTCGCCCCCCCTACCTCCTTTCGGACGTATCACAGGTCCTGCCTTATGACCTTCGGTACTGCTCCGCTTCTTTCTACCCTTTGTTCCTGTTCAGACGTCTTTGTTCCGATTCGGATCCCCTTTGTTTCCTTGTGCTTTTGCCCCCTCCATTATATATATCGGCACTTGTACATACTTGTTTTGGGCTCAGCCCGAAATCGACCTGAAATGCCCCCTAGAGACTTCCTGCTCACCTACTGTGAAATTAAGGACCAAATGGACAAACAGCAATGGCACAGCGCTCCACTTGAGTCGCTGAGGCCAAGGTCCCTCCACACTAAGTCTCCGATTCCACTCCGGAGTCATCTGAATCCACGACACATCTCTAACAGAACCCCGACTCCTCTCCCATTTCTCCTTTTTCCTCCACTCCTCACTTCCATTTTCATTCTCTCATTTTTTCTTGTCTGTAAGTACAGCCCCCCTCACCTTACTAATTCTGGGCCTTCAAGGGTTCAGGCCTAAGAAGGGGATACTGTCATATCCATCCCCGGCCATCGACTTCCGATCCCTCTGATCCCTCTGATCCCTCCGATATACCTCCACTCCTTCACTAACCTCAGAGCTCCCATATTCTGCAATCCCCTTGGTCCCTCTCGATGGTCACCACCCCCTCCTTTCAATTTATTACCTACGCCTCCCTAAGTACGGAGCCCCGAAGACTTCCGGACAGCTCTGACGTCCACTAGCGCACTCCTGCCTCCGCTGGGCAATACACTCACCTGCCCTGCAGAGCCCACCTTCAGGCCTATCCCTCCTGTCCATTTCTGGGTTATCGCCTGCCTTTCCGTTAACCCTGTAACCCGACTTGTCGGTAACATTCAGTCAGCTAATGTCTAACCCCATTAGCTCCGCTCCGCTCGGCTCCACCATTTGCGGACCTGTCTTCACTGTAACTATATATATCCAACTTGTACATAGGTTACACTTCAGTAATAAAATCGACTAGAGTTTACCCCCTTCAGTTCTGGTTGCCAGTTAGTAAGTTAGGGCACGGACGTGTTACTTGGCACAGCGCTCCTGGCACAAGTCGCTGAGGCCAAAGCCCTCCACTATGGAGACACTCCTTCGTCTCAACCTGGTCTCTGACACTATTGCATCAGCGGTAGCTGCCCAGACAGGTCAACTTTGTCAGGAGTTGAAAGAGATAAAGTCCCTCGTAGGAGGGAGATGAGGGAGCGACAGCAGCTCCTTGTCCAGGCCGTCCAAACAGGCATGGTCTGACAACTCAAGGGTGTCAGATGATGCCTGCAATAATTGCACCCATTGGAGGCGTGAATACAATAGAGCATGCAGAGATGCTTCAGCATCTTTGCCTCTCTGAAAGACAGAGAGAAAAGTCGACCTCCAGAAGAGGGAGATCGAGTTGTTAAAATGCGAGCTTGAAGAGGCACACGCACTGGCAGACCTCGCTGCCAAACCCATTATGATGGGGGCCTCCCAGGTCAGGGGGAGGGGATACGGTTCCGGGCCTCATGAGGTGCAACCCCATATGGGGACTAGCGCACCAAGGGGCGGGGCACCGACTATCCCGCCACCCCATGGGCAGGCAACCCTGTCTGGGTTGCATAAGGGCCCACCCTCAGGAGGGCAAACCCATGTCAAGGGGAGATGGGAAGACAGTAGGCAGCCAATGACAGACCCCCAAAAGGGGACCACTACCAGAGGCAGCGGGCCACCAAGTACCATGACACCCTATGGGCAAGCCACCCTACAGGGAAGTGTCCACATGCTTTTTGAGATGGCCAAAGCCAACAAATTCTCAGCCCAACCCAAGCTGAGAGCAAGCTATCACCCCCAGTGATAGTGGACAACACAAGCCAACTCCAAAAGGAGTTGGATGAGACAGAATCCCTCATGAAAGGGAAACAAGAGAGCAAGACAAGCTCCTCACTCAGGCCATCCAGGTAGAGATGGCCTGGTTACTTCAGGGGTGCCGAGAAATGCCTATGAGAACCATGCCACCCAGAGGCAGGAGTACAAGATTCGCATAGAAGTGCGAAGGATTACCTCTCTCCAAAATGAAGAGAAACCAATTTCCAGAAATCGAGGAACTTGAATGTGAGCCTGGGCTCACTTTGCATGGGCAGAATCCCACTGCCAAGTCCACCATGATGGGGCCTCCCAGGTTAGGGGGAGGAGATGTGATATTGGGTCTCAGAAAGTGTAACCCAGACAGGGACTAACATGACTGTAGGGAGGCATAGGTAATATATTGAATTGAAGGGGTGATGACCATCAGGGGAGTCGGAGGTGGCTGCGGAATCCAGAGGCTCCGAGGTTAGTGAGGAAGGACTGGAGGTGATCCAGAAGGACCAGAGGTGGCAGAGGGTGATGGCTGTGGATGGATATGACAGTCAGCCACCACCACCACCACCTGCCTCAATTGACACTTATTGTATGAAGGTGTGCAAGCCTGACCAGTTTGATGGGTTGGACCAAAAGAAACTTTGTATGTTCCTAGTTCAGTGTCAACTAAATTTCCGGGATTGTCCCCAGGGTTTAGCTCTGACTGTAAGAAGGTCATATATGCTCAGTCGTTCCTAACGGGCTCTGTGCTCAATTGGTTTGAACCCAATCTCTTACACATGCCTGGTGGTCAAGCACCTCCCTGGGAGAATGACTGGGAACATTTCATTGAGGAACTCTGCAAGAACTTCAGTTCACACAACCCTGTCCACAACACAGAGCATCAACTCAAAACCTTGGTGATGAAGGACAACCAAAGGATTAGCAAGTATATCATTGAGTTCAACTGCTACACTTCACAGTTACTGTACATGGATATGGTGAACGTGTGCTTTAGTCTCTATTTTTTGATGGGTTGCCTGATCGTCTTAAGGATGAGATCTATCGATCTAGTAGGCCTGATTTGTTGTGGGATCTTTGTGATCTTGCACAAGAGCTTGACACCCATTACTGGGAACACCACCAAGACATTACACAACCATCCCACAACAATGCCACCTCTCCCTCCACTCTGTCATCCTCTAAGCCCATCAAGTCTGATGGCAACAAGAACTCTTTGACTTCTTCATCGCTCCCTTCCTCCACCATCACCTCTGGTAGTAAAGCGCCTAAGGACAAGTTGTCCAGCAGTAAGTCTACCTCCTTCACCTCTGATCTCTCAACAAAACTCGGTAAAGGTGGTAAGCTCACTCCTGACAAGTGTCAATGCTGAGTTGACAACAAACTCTGCCTCTTTTGTGGTAAGCCTGGCCACATGGCAAGGGACTGCTGAAAATCATCTTCCAATGTGGCTAAGGCCTGCCAGGTGATTGCTGAGGTGCCTGATACTGAACTCAATGTCTCTGATGAGACAAAAAACTAGTCGTTGACCTTTCAAGTCCAGCACTCTCAAATGGTTGTAGCAATCATGAAAGTGCACTTTGAGTGGTTTGCCTTAACATGTCCACTCGTTCCTATTTCTTTTGTGTCTGATTATGGTCGATTTCCATCTTCAAAGGGGTATGCCCCTGCATCAGCAAACTTGGTAGGGAGCTCTCAGAGCTCTGTGAGCAAATTGAGTCTTTTTGCTGTGCACCCTCTACACATTGGGTGGAGAAAATTAAATCTTTGAATGATTTTGTTCTCCTAAGGATGCAGAAGTGCAAAGTGTCAGAGACCAGATTGAGATGAAGGATTGTCTCCATGGTGGAGGGCTTCGGCCTCAGCAACTCAAGCCAGGAGCACTGTGCCAAGTTACACGTCTGTGCCCTAATTTACTTACTGGCAATGAGAACTAAGGGGGATCAACTCTAGTCGATTTTATTACTGAGGTGTAACCTATGTATGAGTTAAGTATATATATAGTTACAGCAAGGGCAGGCCCATGAATGGCAGGGCCAAGCAGAGCAGAGCTAACAGAGTTAAACATTAGCTGATTGAATATTACTGACAAGTCGGGTTATGGGGTTAGTGGAATGGCAGGCGATAACCCAGAAATGGAAAGGAGGGATAGGCCCAAAGGTGGGCTTGCAGGGCAAGTGAGTGAATTGCCCAGCAGAGGTGGGAGTGTGCTAGTGGACGTCGGAGCTGTCCAGAAGCCTTTGGGGCTCTGTACTTAAATAATATATTGAAAAGAGGGGGTGGTGACCATCGAGGGAAGTGGAGGTGATTGTGGAATATGGGAGCTCTGAGGTTAGTAAAGAAGGAGCAGAGGTAGTCCGGAAGGGTCGGAGGTAGTGGAAGTCGATGGCCGTGGATGGATATGACAGTATCCCCTTCTTAGGCCTGAACCCTTGAAGGCCCAGAATTAGTAAGGTGATGGGAGCTGTACTTACAGAAGGAAAAAATGAAAATGGAAGTGAGGGGTGGAGAGAAAGGGAGAGATGGGAGAGGAGTCGAGGTTCCTAAGGGGCTTCAGGACCAGGCTTGTCTGGGTACTGAGAGTGGAAAGCTTCAACAAGGTCGGAGGCATGATCGAGTTTGCCAGCAAGGAGCCATTGTGTCTCCTCAGCAGTCCCTTCATAGCCTAGCCACTTGACCAGGTAGAGCAACTTGTTGCATCTATGTCAGTTGATCTTGGAGTCGAGTATCTCTTTGATCTCAAACTCCATCTTGCCTTCAATTTCTATGGGAGGCAGAGGTGGCTGGTGGCAGTTTGGAATGACATTTGGGACAGAGGGTTCAATCTGTGAGACATGGAATACCAGGTGAATGGCTCACATGTTTTCTGGCAGGCAGAGGGTGAGGGAGTGGGTTCCCACATGGGCAATGATCTCGAATGGGCTGAGGTTTTTCTTGGAGAGCTTTTTGGAAGGTTGGGTGGAGTGGAAATACTTGGCCTTTACATAGACCAAAGTTCCTACCTCAAAAGCTGGGGCAGGACTCTGACAAGAGTCTGCTGGGCCCTGATAACAGATCTGGGCGAGGTGCATTTCCTCATGAAGGAAGTGATGGAGGGAGTTGGGATCTACAGAGTACTCCTGGGCACATACTGATGTTAGGTCTCGCTCTGGGTGAACGGTGATGTTCGGATGGTAACCCTTGTTGGTGAAGAATGGAGAGACACCTGTGGTGGCATTCAGAGCATTGTTGTATGCAAACTCCACAAGAGGTAGGAGTTCAGACCAATTGTCCTGCTGGTAGTTACTATAGATATGCAGGTACTGCTCGAGCGTTTGGTTCATCCGTTTGGTTTGTCCATCTCCTTCCGGATGATATCTGGAGGTGAAATGGAGGCAGATGTCGAGGGCCTTACCAAGTGAATGGAAAAAATGAGAAACAAACTCCGGACCCCTGTCAGAAGTGACGTGGGAAGGAACTCCGTGCTTGGAGAACACATGGAGGAGGAAGAGCTTGGCCAGTTCTGGAGAGGTGATGGTATTGTGGGTAGGAATGAAAATGCACTGCTTGGACAGGCAGTCCACGATGACCAAGATGGAAGTGAATCTGGAAGATGAGGGTAGCTGTTCGATGAAATCCATGGAGATGGAGTTCCAAGGACGTTCAGGGATTATATTATATATATACTTAATATATATATATATATACTTAAGTGAGGTTGAATGTATTGTTTCACAGTTAATTATATAAGCTTTTCCCGCGCTCAAGCCTGTTGGTGGCATCTTGCCATTCCGCTGGATAACCTGTGGTGAGACAATAATAACGAACGGAGGGGACGTTGGCATAAACCCATTGAAAAAAACCCCATGCAAAACGGTTGAAAACTGAGAGAGATATGGGGTGTGGCCCATGCCAGCGCGTGTTTTGAGTGTGGGAAAAGTGTCCACGGCCTCATACAAGCTGTTTGATGACTAAGGTTAATAATACGGTATGGAGAGGCTGTTTGGACGAGCTCATTGAAAAACACCTGACGAAAAACGAACAAGATTTGACAGAGATACGAATGTACATGTGTTTTTGTGTGAAAAAATGTGAAAAAACATCCCACCGCCTCATACACCCTCATTCGCGATGTGCGACAATAATATAAAAGAATAAGGGCGTTGGTACAAGCATGTACAAAAAAGAACGACGAAAAACGAATGATAATTGACTGAGATACGAATGTACATGGTTTTTTTGTGAAAAAATGTAAAAACATGTCCTACCGCCTCATACGCGCTCATTCGCGGCTTGCACCAACGATAGCAAATGACCAGGGAGGTGGTCCGAGCCCATCAAAAGAAACCCGACGAAAAACCAATCAGAATTGACAGAGATACTAATGTACATGGTTTATTTGTGGAAAAATCGTGCTACTTCCTCATACACGCCGATTCACGACTGGCACTAACAATACCAAATGTAGAGAAAGTTAATCCGGGCCCATTAAGAAAAACCCGACGGAAAACGGTCAAGAACTGAGGGAGATACCAATCCAGTGTCAGCTCCGCGGCTGATCTCTGCGTGGGAAACGGTCCCCAGCACCCTACAGATGCTTTAAAAATATGAAAAAATACCAGGTACCTGCATGAATACTATATAGAATTGTTCGCAAAATTTCAGGACATTCGGGCCAGTATCAAGCGAGATATAATAAATTATGTGATTAATTTTCACTTGGCACCCTCAAAATCGCATAATATCGAGTTGAGGTAATAATACAAATTGTAGAGGACATTAACACGCGCCCGTTGAAAAAAACCCGAAGAGAAACGAATAAGAACTGACAGAGATACAAATGTAGTGTCTGCTCTGCGCGTGGTCTGTGCGTGGGAAACGTCTTCCAGTGCCTCACGGCATGTTAAGAAAATATGAAAAAATGTCAAAAACTTGCGTTGATAATATATAAATTAGTACGCAAATTTATAAAACATTTGGTGAGGTATTAAGCGAGATATAAGAATAATACCATAC